AGATAAGCAGACAGACAGATAAGCAGACAGACAGACAAGCAAACAGACAGACAAGCGCACACACACGCACACACCACACGTACACAGAGGCGCGCGCGCTTTTACTTTCGCCTTTTTCTCTAAATTACGCGGCCTGCAATTTGTCCAGGGCTTCCCTGCCGTCGGTACAGTCCCCCCGACAGTGCAGTGGCCACCGGGGCCGCCCCGCCGGCTCATCAGGGGAGCGTGTCCTTCCGTCCGTGACTGTACATGGCGTGTGTCGGCCGCTCGGCCGCGCCGCGACCACACCCTTCGACGCCCCCCCCCCTCGCACACTCTTTCTCATCCATTTTCCCCGGCATTAGAATACCACCCGGGCAAAATGGTATTACTGCTTCCCCCCACCCCTTTCCAACGCGGGGGGGGGGGGCGTCAGATTCCACTGGAGAATTCTTTACAGTGTGGCGAAAGCATGGAGTTTGTCCGTGTTTCGCCGGCGCCCTTGCAGTGCCGGGGAATCAGAGCAGCATCTCCGACCGCGCGCGGCATTTTCGGATGCCGGCTGGGCGAGCTGAGCAGCGGACTGGCTCCGAGCAAAATCAACTAAGACGGACCACTTCTTCCGGTGACCCTCTCCGATTTGCCTGATTTTTTGTAGGCTTAATAACTCACTAAAGGAGAGTCTAAAGCCAAAATATTAGGTCTCGCAAAAATTTATTGCCCGAGATATGGCCAACTTTAGTTTAACTTTTGGAGGAAAAACACAAATTTGGGTATTTTGGACTAATTTTACACTTTTCATAGTAGAGGGCTAAAATTTGGTCACTTTATGTAAAATTGGCCAAGGAACAAGAATATGACCTCAGATTTGACCTCCGACGAATACCTGAAGAGTAAACCCCCCAAAACATCCTAAAAACACATAAAAAAACAGTTTTTTCTTGGGGTTTCTGGGAAAAATATGTGGACAAAAATTTCTGATGATCGTATCTTGTAGAAAATGACGCGATGAATCGAATGAGACCACGCGCAGATTTTTATGTCAAACCGTTTAGGAGATATAGCGGTTCAAAATATGAAAATTTTGCCATTTATTTGTTAAAAAAATGCAGGTTTTGAGCATTGTTTGACGTTTTTGCCTCCTTGGTGCGTGTAGGCGTTCTTATCTTGTGGAAAAAGACGCGCTGAATCGAATGCGACCACGCATAGAGTTGTATCTCAAACCGTTTAGGAGATATAGTGGTTTAAAGTATGGGCACGGGAGAGCTCCTACAAACACCCGACAAGGCAGAGCCGCCAAACACGCCTGTTGGGCGGGCGGACTACAGTGCCCATACTTTGAATCGCTATATCTCCTAAACGGTTTGAGATACAACTCTGTGCGTGGTTTCATTCGATTCAGCGCGTCTTTTTCCACAAGATAAGAACACCCACACGCACCAAGGAGGCAAAAAACGTCAAACTATGCTCAAAACCTGCATATTTTGAAAAATAAATGGCAAAATTTTCATACTTTGAACCGCTATATCTCCTAAACGGTTTGGCATAAAAATCTGCGCGTGGTCTCATTCGATTCATCGCGTCATTTTCTACAAGATAAGATCATCAGCAATTTTTGTCCACATATTTTTCCCGGAAACCCCAAGAAAAAACTGTTTTTTTTATATGTTTTTAGGATGTTTTGGGGGGTTTACTCTTCAGGTATTCGTCGGAGGTCAAATCTGAGGTCATATTCTTGTTCCTTGGCCAATTTTACATAAAGTGACCAAATTTTAGCCCTCTACTGTGAAAATTGTAAAATTAGTCAAAAATACCCAAATTCGTGTTTTTTCTCCAAAAGTTAAACAAAAGTTGGCCATATCTCGGGTAATAAATTTTCGCGGGACCTAATATTTTGGCTTTAGACTCTCCTTTAGTGAGTTATTAAGCCTACAAAAAATCAGGCAAATCGGAGAGGGTCACCGGAAGAAGTGGTCCGTCTTAGTTGATTTTGCTCTCCGAGAGTCGCTTTCGTCGCCCTCTCTCTCGCACTGGTGGGGCGCGCCGTGCGTGCGAGAGAGACGGAGCGAGAACGACCCTCAGTCCGCGGCGCGCCGAGCTCCACCACGGCCCCACGTACGGTACGGCGGCGTGCTTCCCCAGGCCGGGCCGGCCCACGCCTTGCCTCGCAGTCCCGGCCTGCAGTCCCGGGAGGGAGCGGCCGCGGGGGGATCACAACACTGGAAATCCAAATATACTGCCAAGGACTGACTGGAATGCAGGGCTGGCAGGGCTCGCAGGAGCAAGTCGGCGAAGCCGCCGCCGCAGTCGCTGTGCGCGCCGCACCCCGCCGCACCCGCCGCACCCGCCGCACCCCGCCACACCCCGCCACACCCCGCCATACCCCGCCACACCCCGCCGCACCCCGCCGTACCCCGCCATACCCCGCCACACCCCGCCATACCCCGCCGTACCCCGCCATACCCCGCCGTACCCCGCCGCACCCCGCCATACCCCGCCGCGCCCCGCCATACCCCGCCGCACCCCGCCTCGCCCCGTCAGGCCGCGAAATACCAAAACGGAACGGAAGCTCCAGACCCGCCGAACATGCCAACCTACCCACCAGAGGCCTTCATCGGGCAGGTGCACGCTGCTTCCAGCAGGCGGCTCCAAAGACGGGTTCGAGGAGGGGGTAAACTTGGCTGCCTACGTGCGAATTTTTGTCTGTCTTCCGTGTGAAAGGTGTGGAAAGAGAGGGTAGTTGGGAGGGGGAGGGAAGGGGGAGGGGAGGGGAGGGGAGGGGGAGGGGAGGGGAGGGGGAGGGGAGGGGAAGGGGGAGGGGGAGGTGAGGGCTGATCCACGCTTGCAAGTTAGACGACATGGCTTGCTGGCCACGCCCGGGCCCGGCTCTCATCAGCCTCATCAGTCGCTCTCGCGATATCCAGCGTCCAGCAGACTGATTCCGAGAGTCATTTTCGTCGCTCGGTCTCTCTCGCACTGATGGGGCGCCCCGTATAGGTGAGCGAGACAGAAAAATAGGCAAGAACGACTCGGGATCAGTCTTGCAGAGCAAAGGGACCTGGAACAGAATGTCCAGCGGACCGAGGACCAGTCGCACAGCGCGCCTCTCGCAGAAAGACTGATTCCGAGAGTCGTTCTCGTCGCTCTGTCCCTCACGCACCCGTTAGGGGCCGCTCCATGCGAGCGGAAGAGGCAGCGCGACGAAAGCGACTCTCCGTTGCTATAGCAGTCTGTCTGAAGCGTGGTCCGTCTGCTAGCGCGCTGCAGAGCACAGGGAGCCAAGCCGAGGCACCGGCAGTGACAGGCGGGCGACGAGCTGGCCGAGCCAATCAGAGCGCAGCTCGGGTGGGCAGCCCCAGCCGTCTGATTCCGAAAAATGTTTTTTCGCTCGTCTCTCTCGCACCCTAACGGCATACCCCATGAGTGCGAGAGAGACAGGAGCGACGAAAGCAGTGCACGGAATCAGACGGCAGTCCAGCAGCCCAGCAGCCGTGTTTCGGTGGCAAAGGCGACCACAGCAGACTGATTCCGCACAGTGCAGCCATCGGCCTGCCTCTCTCGCACCCGCACGGAGCGCCCCATGAGTGCGAGAGAGATACACTCCACTCGGAATCAGTCTACTGATCCGAGTCGTCCGAGTTGGGCCCTCCTTCCCTACCTCATTCCACTCATTCCGCTATTTTAGCGTAGTCTCCCTCGGTGAGGTCGCCGCGGCCCAAGGGCTTGGCTGTTCGGACGGGACAGCACCGCGGTCCGCGGTCACTGTCTCTCTCGCACCTAAAAGGGACGACCCATGAGTGCGAGGGAGACAGGGCGACGAAAACGGCTCCCGGAATCAGTCTGCTGGCCCGTCCGCGGACAGACTATAGACAGGTCCGCGAACTGCTGGTTGGTTGGCTCGGCTCTGCTTTCGCCGCTCTGTCTCTCTCGCACTCATGGGACGTCCCGCAGGCGCAGGTGAGCGGGAGAGACAGGGAGAGACAGTGACGCAAGCAATGCCTTTCAATCAGCCTGCCGAGCGATGAGTCGTTTCGTCGCTCTGTCTCTCTCGCACTCATGGAGCTCTCCGTAAGGGTGCGAGAGAGACAGAGCGACAAACCGCTCTTCTGAATCGCTCGACTGCAGCGTAACATCCCTCTCTTTGAACGAGACTCTAGCGAGAGACACAGAGCGAAGAAGCCGCAGTGGGCTGATTCCGAGAGTCGTTTTCGTCGCTCTGTCTCTGTCGCAGTCATGGAGCGTCCCTTATGGGTGCGACAGAGACGGCGCGACGGAGAGCACTCTCGGAATCGGTTTTGCAGCTCGGGACCCGTCTGCAGCCTGCAGCCTGGGAAACGCGAAACAGTTGCGAGGGATGGAAATGCAGCCGATCGGCACGGGCCTTGCGCTTCCTTCCCGATGACGTCATGCGACGCCATGCCAGTGTGGTGGTGGGCTCGCTGACACTGAGATTCCTAACGCTATGAGTATAGCACGTATGGTGCAATACAGCTGAGATATCGCACCATACGTGCAATGCGATTGGCCATATTGCACCTTACGTGCAATGCATCCCGAAAATGCCCTATGATAATGCATGGGATTGGGGAGGTATTGCACTTCATGTGCAATGCTTTTGTATTGCACCAATTGACGCTATACTCATAGCGTTTGGATTCTCAGTGGACCATAGGCGGACAGGACATTGTCGCTCTGTCTCTCTCGCACGCCTACGGGACGTCCAATGAGTGCGAGAGAGACCGAGAGCGACGAAGGCACTGTTTGGAATACCAGCCAGCAGGCGAAGGTCAGACAGAGCGCACCGCGGGGTCGCGTCCTTGGCGGCGACCTGTGGCTGCGTACTCTGCAGACTGATTCCGCGAGAAGTTTTCGTCGCTCTGTCTCTCTCGCACTCACGGTGCGTCCCGTGCAGGTGCGAGAGAGACAGAGCGACGAGTACGACTCACGGAAACAGGCTGCTGGCGGTTTGTCGCTGACGGCCGCGTCGCTGGTGGCGTCTAGCTGACGGTGTGGTGACTCACCTTTGGCGTTGAGCGTGGCGATGACCAGGACGCACATCCAGAGCGCCGTCATGACGGACCCGGTCCGCGTGACCGTGCACGACGACAGCATGGCGACCTTCTTCAACGTTGTCTTCCTGGAGGCCCGGGGCGCCGTCGAGGGCCGGGCGCCGCCGCAGGGACCATGGACGCGCTCACTGGCACTAGCGCGAGCGCGCACACACACGCTCTCTTTCTATCTCTCTCTCACACACACGCACTAACACTCACGCACTGTCTGTCGCCGCGAGGACGGCTCGGAGCGGCAGGCGGCGCCTCAAATTAATCCAGTGGCGATGCAATCTCTTGAGTCAGGTCGTTGTCACGGCGTTGTCACGGCGTTGTCACGGCGTTGTCACGGCGTTGCCACGGCGTTGACGCCGTCACAACACTGTCACCGTCTAGGCCTCGACACCGTAATGGTGGCCTTGACAGCGTCACGGTTTAGGCACCGTCACGGACTTGTCACCGTCACAACACTGTCACCGTCACGGACTTGACACCGTCACAACACTGTCGACGTCACGGCACTGTCACCGTCACGACACTGTTCCCGTCACGGCGGGACGAGAGGGAGGCGCGGCGCCGGGCCCAGCCGGAACGGAGCCGGGCCGCCGAGCGCGAGGTCGCGACGCGAGGACCACGACGACGAGGACGACGAGCGCGAAGCGAGGCGGGGCGTAGGGCGGCGAGCGTGCGCTCCGCGTCGAGGCTGGTCGGAGACTGGCTGCTGGCGGCGGCGCGGGCGCGGGCGCGGCGCGGGCGCGCCCACGCCCCCCGCAGCACCCCGCCGCGCTAGCAGTCGCTACCCCCACCGAGGTGAGCCGAGGCGAGGGTGCGCCTCCCTCGCACCTTTCAGCAGCCGCGTCTTTCGCGCAGCGCCCAGCAGCGCCACTGTTAGCGCCTCACGCACACGCAAGCGCTTCGAGTACGGAGTGATTAGCGATCTGCAGTATGATTCCGAGAGTCGTTTTCGTCGCTCTGTCTCTCTCGCGCCTACTCGTTGCGCCCCAATGAGTGCGAGAGAGACAGAGCGGCGAAAACGTCTCACGGAATCAGTCTAGCTTGGTCTACCGTCGATTCTTCCGGAAGTCGTGGTGATAGGGGTAGGTTGGGGAAGAAAAGTACAGGGTAAGAAAAGTACAACCCTTGTGGAGCTCACACTCTTAAAACCTTACGAAGTATTTTGAGCATACATATAACAAACTAATATACTTTGTTATACGAAGAAATGGTTTGTAAATTACGAAGTATTTTCTTTGTAAGCTTATGTATGCTGAAAATACTTTGTTATACAAACTAATTTTCTTAGTAAGGCCCAAAATAGTTTGTAAGGTTTTCTCAGTGCATGTCTTGACTTTTAGCCATCCGTCGACCAGTGATTTCAACTAAACATGGAAACCTGAGTGTGAAAACACTGTTAAATGGATGTCATGTACTGGAATAGTAGGCTACAAGGGGGGTGTACTTTTCTTACCCTGTATTTTTCTTCCCCAACCTACCCCTACAGTGTAGGGGTTCGAAGGCAAAGCTCAGCGCGCTTCCCCTTGCGTCGCGGCCACTGTTGTAACTACGAATGAGTAAAGCAGACTGCTCCAGAGTCTCCCTCGCACCTATACAGGACGCGCACGAGTGCGAGAGAGGCAGAGCGGTGAAAAAGACCCTGGGACACTGTGAGAAAAAAAGTCGTAATATTACGAACCATTCTTGTATAGTATTTTCCCACATTAAATTCATAATTTTACGAATAATTTCACGACGAATGATTCATTATTTTTATGAAACACTCATTATTTTATGAATGCTTCATTCGAAAAATGAATAATTCATAAACACCCAAAAACGAATGATTCATTCCCCAATTTTTACGTGACAGCATCACGAGCCATTCGTAATTTTACGAATGTTTCATAATGTTGTATGAATAATTCATAATTTTACGAATCATTCATAAATTTATGAATGTTCCATAAAGTTTTTTATGAGCCATTCTTGTACACTATTTTCCCATTAAAAAATCGTAAATTTAGGAACAATTGAACGATGAATGGTTCATTATTTCATGAATGATTCGTAAAATCTGAATACCTTTCGGGCATTTTCAGGCACATTTTTCAACCAAAATATGAAAGGTTCATAATTGTTCATTTATGATTTTTTCGTAGTGAGCATGAAACGAGCCATTCATAAATTTATGAAGCATTCATCGCCAAATATGTCGTAAAATTACGACAACTTTTTTCAGTGGATACAGGTGACTGGTACACTGGTACCATCAAAGGACGAGAGGCAGACAGACAGATAGACGCGGCTGGCGTTGCGCCACGGCCAGCGTCGTCCGACGACGCCCCGTGTGTTTGGAGATGCAATGTCAGGACCTGGTCCTCTTTTGCCCATCTTCCGCTTTGATTCAGCCGAATGGTCATTTCTCCTCCTGCCTTTGACGGGACATCTTGACGACGGGCACCGCGACGGGCACCGTACCGCTCGGGGTGCGGCGCGGCCATTTGGTCCGGCGGGCCCGGCCAGCGCTCGACCTTAGCTTCATACTCCAGAGTGGGTGCATTGAGGCACAAGACCTCTTGACTTTTCGTACGGAACTAGTTGGCCACAGGACAACACTGCAGACTGGTTCCGGGAGAAACGTTTTCGTCGCTCTGTCTCTCTCGCACTCATGGGGCGTCCCTAAGGGTGCGAGAGAGACAGAGCGACTCGTTTGCGAGGCGGCCGCGCCCTCTGCCGGCCCTTGCAGTGCCCTTGCATGGGTCCGCCACGCGCTCGACGAAGCCATGCTGCGATAGCCAGTCGCGCGCTGGAAAGGGGGTCGTTACGCGTCTTCTCTCGTTGCACTACCTGGAGTCTCTGGGAGTCCACCATGCCACTCAGCGATGGGCGCCTTCATGGCGATGGACACCCTGATGGTCAGCATCTGCTCGATGACTCTGCACCGATGAACCGTGCATGAACTTGCCGCCATGCATTACCTCCGCGCCGAGTGTAACCTCGGCGATGGCCTCGGAATCGGGCATGGCCTCGGTGATGACCTTGGTGCCGTGCTTGACCTCAGCGCCGTGCTTGACCTCGGCGATGACCTCGGCGCCGTGTTGACCTCGGCGATGACCTCGGCGCCGTGCTTGACCTCGGCGATGACCTCGGCGCCGAGCTTCACGCCGGCGATGACCTCGCCGCCATGTTTGACCTCAGCGCTGTGCATGACCTCGGCATGACCTAGGCGCCGCGCATGACCTCGGCGTCGACGCATGCACGCGTGCATGACCTCGGCGCCGTGCACCACGACAGCGGCGCTGTCATGTGGCCTCATGGCATGGCGCCCTGCGCCAACACGATCTCGACTCCGTGCGCGACCGCACCGGGAGGGGAATGGCTGCGAAGGGACGGAAGCACAGCGGGGCGTGGCGGCGCGGCAGCGTCCGGGCAATGGGCCGAGCCTCACCTGATGCGTCTAATTACCACTCCCTTCCGACCGCACGGCGCCGCCCCGCCCCGCCCCACCTGGTGCCGATTCGTCCCCGGCTAATTGCACCGACATCCACAAAATTAGGACTAATGTGTTGTCACTGTAATCTTTCCCTGCCGAGAGGGGCCCAATGCCTCACCCGTTCGGCCGCGCCCCGCCGCGCCGCGCCTCGCCCCGCGTCGCTCAGGACCGCGTCGTCGGCGCGCCGCCCAGTTTTTGCCTCCCAAAAAGGCGAACGACACCGCTTTTTACCTTGCCGGGGCTGTGGCGTGCCATGGCCGAGGCGTCGAGGAATGCCCCCGACAGCCACCCACCCCACCCGGCCCCACCCCGCCCCACCCCACCCCGCCCCACCCCACCCCGCCCCGCCCCACCCCGCCCTTCTGCGCCGCGGGACCGTGGGACGGGCCTACGGGCCGCGAGGGGGAGGAGGCCGAGAAGAAGGAGGTATGTAAACAGCTGCCTCAATGGGAGGAGGACCATATGGACGCGGCTCGCTGGGGCCACGCACGCGCACACCGACACACACCCACACTCGCAAACGCGCGCACACACGCACGCACACACACACACACACGGACACACACACAAACACGTACACACGCCGCGACCAGGAACAGCAGTACGCAGCCGGCGCGCCGGCAACGGCATCTCACCCCAAACTGGTGCCACTTCTAACCATTTTAATTTTACCCTGACTCACACAGTTACACGCACACAGACCCACAGAACCAGAGCCACATATACACTCCGCCGCCCGACCGCGGCCTGTTGGATTCCCGTTGCTAGCCAAACCGCTCGCAGCGCCGCGCGTGGTAGGGCACGGTCGCATGGCACGGCCACATGGCACGGCTCTGTTGGCCGACGGAGGGCGGCGAGTTTCTGCTACGCGGGCATTACTAGTATCGGAAAAAAAGAGTTGTTCTCTTCTGAGTCCTCAAACCCCTCGTTCGTCTTAATGCAAATTTTTCACGTGATTCTATTTTCCAAAGTTGGAATATGCCTACGGCTGGGGAAAAGAGCGGCGGGGGCGATCCCGGTAGGACGTCTTCAAGTTTATTGTTTCCCGCAGCCGCCGCCCCTCGGCCTGCAGCACACTGTGAAACCAGTGCGGAGAACGCCACACTGGAAACTGGAAATGAGGAGGTGTGGCATTTGCAGAGTTTGCTGTCTGCACGGTGGAGTCGAGTGTGGAGGTCTCCGCGTTCGCACCGCCCACAGATTAAGAACTCTGTGAGCTACTCCACACTCGAAGTGTGCAGTGTGCAAACTCCACAGGTCTTAGCGTGGAGTACTCCTCTCAAGGAAGTGTGGTCCACCACACTCGGCTTGACAGTGCAGCAGCGCCGCCCCTCCGCGCGGCAGGGCCGGCAGTAGCCAAGGCGGTAGCCAAGGCGGTAGCCCTCGCACGCGGCGACTTACGCCGTCGTGACAGATGGGCGGCGTGTCTGGGCGGACTGGAGGTGCCACGGAGGGGAGTTTGTCGTCACCTGGGCGCTGCACGCACCAATCCCCCCCCCTCCCCTTTCCAAACTGCGGTCCGCACCCAACGAGGTTATCGTGCCCTATCGGCAGCACAGCGCAGGCGTAGGCAAGAAGAGTGCCGTTCTGAATCCCCGCGCGGCAAACCGCGACAAACTACCCCCCCCCCTCCCTGTGCAAAAACGAGTTTCCTGGTTTTACGCCCCGAATACTGCTTACCGCTTCGAGCGCGGTCCGGCCCTCCCCGTCGGGACCGAGTCGGGCCACCGACGCCAGCGGCGGCGGAGGGGTGGACGCCGGACCGCGGCGGACCCGCCTCGGGGCTCCGCGGGTAGCGCTCTCTGTGCACGCTCACGCCACGGCCATGCCCGCGATCACGCTCGCTGTTACGCTGACAGCCGCGCCCACACTGCCACGCTCGCATCGACGCTCGCGACCACGCCCGTGTAAAGCGCACACTGTGAGAAAAAAAGTCGTAATATTACGAACCATTCTTGTATAGTATTTTCCCACATTAAATTCATAATTTTACGAATAATTTCACGACGAATGATTCATTATTTTTATGAAACACTCATTATTTTATGAATGCTTCATTCGAAAAATGAATAATTCATAAACACCCAAAAACGAATGATTCATTC